GCAAGTGTGCCAACAACAAGTGCGCCAACAACAAGTGCGCCAACAGCAAGTGCGCCGACAGCAAGGGCACTAAAAGCAAGTGCGCCAAAAGCAAGCATGCCAACATCAAGCGCGCCAACAGCAAGTGCGCCAACAACAAGCGCTCCAACAATGAGCGCGCCGATAGCGACAGCGAGCGCGCCAATAGCAAGCGCATCAAAAGCGAGCGTGCCGACAGCGAGCGCGCCAACAGCAAGCGCACCGACAGCAAGCGCATCAACAGCAAGCTTGCCGACAGCATGCGCGCCAACAGCAAGTGCGTTGACAGCAAGCGCGCCGACAGCAAGCGCGCCGATAGAAAGCGCGCCCACAGCAAGTGCGCCGACAGTAAGTGCGCCAACAGCAAGTGCGCTAACAACAAGTGTGCCAACAACAAGTGCGCTAACAGCAAGTGCGCCCGGGCAAGTGCGCCAACAGCAAGTGCATGAAAGGCAAGTGGACCAACAGTAAATGCGCTAACAGCAAGTGCACCAACAGCAAGTGCGCAAACAGCAAGTGCGCCAACAGCAAGTGCGCCAACAGCAAGTGCGCCAACAGCAAGTGCGCCGACAGCAAGGGCGCCAAAAGCAAGTGGCCAAAAGCAAGTGTGCCAACATCAAGTGTGCCAACAGCAAGCATGCCAACAGCAAGCATGCCAATAGCAAGCATGCCAACAGACCCGCCAACAACGAGCGCGCCAACAGCAAGCGCGCCAACAGTAAGCGCGCCAACAGCAAGGGCGCCGACAGCAAGGGCGCCAAAAGCAAGTGCGCCAAAAGCAAGTGCGCCAACAGGAAGTGCGCCAACAGCAAGCATGCCAACAGCAAGCGCCCCGACAGCAAGCGCGCCGACAGCGAGCGCGACAGCAGCGAGCGCGCCAATAGCGAGCGCGCCAACAGTAAGCGCACCAACAGCAAGCGTGTCAACAGCAAGGATGCCGACAGCAAGGGCGCCAAAAGCAAGAGCGCAAAAATCAAGTAAGCCAACATGAAGTGCGCCAACAGCAAGCATGCCAACGGCGAGCGCGCCAACAGCAAGCACGCCAACTGCAAGCGCACCGATAGCAAGGTCGCCAATAGCAAGCATGCCGTCAACAAGCGCGCCGAAAGCAAGCGTGCCCACAGCAAGTGCGCCGACAGCAAGCGTGCCCACAGCAAGCGCGCCCAAAGTAAGCGCGCCAACAGCAAGCGCGCCAACAGCAAGTGCGCCAACAGCGAGAGCGCCAACAGCAAGAGCGCCAACAGCAAGCGCGCCGTTAGCAAGAGCGCCGAAAGCAAGCACGCCGATAGCAAGCGCGCCCACAGCAAGCACGCCCACAGCAAGCGCGCTGATAGCATATGCGCCAGCAGCAAGTGCGCCAGCAGCAAGTGTGCCAACAGCAAGTGCGCCAACAGCAAGGGCGCCAAAAGCAATTGCGCCAAAAGCAAGTGTGCCAACAACAAGTGCGCCTACAGCACGCGCGCCAACAGCAAGCGCACCGACAGCCAACAGCAAGCGCACCGATAGCAAGCGCGCCGACAGCAAGCGAGTCGACAGCAAGTGTGCCGACAGCAAGTGCGCCCACAGCAAGGGCGTCAAAAGCAAGTGCGCCAAAAGCAAGCATGCCAACATCAAGCACGCCAACAGCTAGTGCGCCAACAACAAGCGCGCCAACAGCAAGCGCGCCGACAGCCAACAGCAAGTGCGCCGACAGCCAACAGCAAGCGCGCCGACAGCCAATGGCAAGCGCGCCGACAGCCAACAGCGAGTGCGCCGACATCAAGCGGGCGGACAAGAAGCGGGCGGACAGCAAGCGCGCCGACAGCAAGTCCGCCAATAGCAAGTGCGCCAACAGCAAGTGCACTAATAGCAAGTGCGCCAACAGCAAATGCGCTAACAGCAAGTGCGCCCAGGCAAGTGCACCAATAGCAAATGCGCGAAAGGCAAGTGCAACAGCAAGTGCGCCAACAGCAACTGCGCCAACAACAAGTGCGCCAACAGCAAGTGCGCCGACAGCAAGGGCGCCAAAAGCAACTGTGCCAAAAGCAAGTGCGCCAACATCGAGTGCGCCAAGAGCAAGTGCGCCAACAACAAGCATGCCAACAGCAAGCGCGCCGACAGCAAGCGCGCCAACAGCGAGCGCGCCAACAGCAAGCGCGCCAACAGCAAGTGCGCCGACATCGAGTGCGCCAAAAGCAAGGGTGCCAACAGCGAGCGCGCCAACAGCGAGCGCGCCAACAGCAAGCACGCCAACAGCAAGCGCGCCAACCGCAAGCGCGCCGACAGAAAGCACACCAACAATAAGCGTGCCCACAGCAAGTGCCGCAACAGCAAGCACGCCAACAGCAAGCGCGCCAACAGCAAGCATGCCGACAGCCAACAGCAAGCGCACCGACAGCAAGCGCGCCAACAGCAAGCGCGCCCATAGCAAGCGCGCCCACAGCAAGTGCGCCCACAGCAAGTGCGCCAACAGCAAGTGCGCCAACAGCAAGTGTGCCCAGGCAAGTTCGCCACCAGCAAATGCACCTAAGGCAAGTGCAACAGCAAGTGCGCCAAAGGCAAATGAGCCAACAACTGGATATTAACCAAGATTAAGTGATAGTGAAAGTGTAAGTGCGATGCGCCTAGCTGTAGCGACTCTCACCTGCTGTCTGTGGTATGCTCGCTCACCTGCAGTTTCGTCGCACGTACCCTTCCTTCTCCATCCTCCCGCTTCCTCCTCCCCCTTTGCCTACCATCACAACAAGCAGATGCCATGATGGCTCGCATGGTGCCACACGCATACACGGTGCCATATTCATGGCGCCAGCGCGCAAAATGCGCCAGCGCGCAAAATGCGCCAGCGCGCAGGGCGCCACCACGCAAGGCGCCAGCGCGCAAGTCGCCAGCTCGCCAGGCACCAGCGCGCAATGCGCCAGCGCAAAACGCGCCAGCGCGCAAGGCGCCCGTGCGAAACGCGCCAGCGCGTAATGCGGCAGCGTGAAACGCGCCAGTGCGCAAGGTGCTGGCGTGCCTGCGGGTTTACGAGCTTGGTGCCATCAAAATGCAACCAGGGGGCAACTAGTCTGGCCTAGGTGGCAGATAGGCGTAGTAAGGAACAAGGGTTAAAATTATATATTGAGTTATATAATTGTTAGGCTTGGTAGGTTACCGAACTTTACTGTAGAGGGTACAATCCCCTACTTGTATGCCTCTCTCTTTCTATTCCAACCCCTTTTCTCTCCTCAACTTTTCTCCTTCCTAAACCTCACGCCACTCCATGGCTCCTCCTAGCTAAACCTCATGCCTTTCCTAGCTTTCTAGCTAAGCTAGCCTTTTAACATGGTATCAGAGCAGGAGTTCCTCCCTGCTGGACCGCCTCCTCACGCTTCCGCCGCGTACTCCTTGCCCTCGTTCGCTCGCGCGGCCATGGCGACCGCGTTGTGCTGCAGTGGCGGCGTCGTGATGCCGCTAGCCGCGTCGTGCCGCTGCCGTCTCGACGCGCTGCCGTGGCGTCAGGCCGCCGTGCTGCCGTCGTAGCGTCGACGTCCCGCAGCAGCGTCGACGCCGCTCTGTGACGGCGGCGTCGGGCTGCAACCGGCTGCGCGACGCCTGTGGCGCCGTGCTGAAGATCCGAAGCCCCGCCCCTTCCCCCTTTCCTCTGTCCCCTCCTCTTCGCCACAGCCGCCGCCTGACTCTCGCAGGTCGTCCCCCTGTCGCGGAGTTTGGACACGCCGCCGGAAGGGCGGGGGCCGCTGCACTCACCGCCGTCGTAAGCCGAAGCCGTCGCCGTCGCCGCTGTCGTCGCCGCAGGCCTTTTGCCGCCGCACGCCCGTCGTCGCCGTCGCTGTCGCCGCGGCCGGGACTGCCGCCGTCGCCATCTCCAAGGCCTTGTGGGCCCTGTTGGAGTCGTTGTGGCTGATGGGAATGGGGGTGCTAGGTTAGGGAGTGTGGGGGTGTGTGTGGGCTTGTGACTACCAAGCCTAGGGGGTGTGTTAAAATTATATATTGAGTTATATAATTGTTAGGCTTGGTAGGTTACCGAACTTTACCGACTGTAGAGGGTACAATCCCGTACTTGTATACCTCTCTCTTTCTATTCCAACCCCTTTTCTCTCCTCAACTTTTTTCCTTCCTAAACCTCATGCCTTTCCTAGCTTCCTAGCTAAGCTAGCCTTTTAACAACAAGAACTATATTCGAGCTCGAACTAGGTACCGTACTATGGGCAAGGAACTAAGTGGGAGCAAGGAATAGGAAGTGAGGAGTATTTAGTACGAGCAAGAACCAGGCACGAGCAAAGAGCGGAGAACGAGGTGCAACGAGGGAGGGACGAGCCGAACAAGAATGAGACACTGTTGCCAGACAAACCCTCGCAAAATGGAAAGAAAAAGGTGGGGGGGAAATGAAAAAAAAAAAAAAAAAAAAAAAAAAAAAAAAAAAAAAAAAGGGTTGATACACGCAACCCATCCGACGATTACATCGTCTTGTATAACATTACCAAGACTGCCAAGACTGGAACTTGGACCCATGGCGACGAGAATGCCTGGCGCGAAACGCGAGACCAAAAGCCGGAATTTGCCCGGGACCGAAACTCTCATTCCACTCTCAAAACCGCACAAAACGAGCTCTTGGTGAGAAAAGATCTGGGCACTCGGTATTGGAGGCCTTGCTGATACTTACAGTCAATGAAACCAACTGAGCGATCAAAAGTAGCAATTTTCCTAACACGTTGTATCAGTCGACATACATGATTAGTCACTTATTGCTAGCAAAAACGACCACAAATGGTCAGAAGAGGAAACCCCCGCCCAAAATGTTCACAGCTTCACCTAGTTTCCCGCTCGTGCCAAGCCAACGTCGTATTTTGACTGACGCAACTGACCTGATGAACAGCACAGAGTACCGGTAGTACATGTACTGGTGGGTGTACCCTACAGTACGTACGGACATGGTGTGGTGTGCCTTACAAACACGCTCCCCATGCTCTTGAACGGGAACCTACGAATGCTGACTGTGTTTGCTTGCTCTTTACTACTTTTTATTGGGCGTTTTTTTCAGAAGCATCCTATCCTCCAACACTTTTCTGAAGAGCACTTGCGTGGCATATAAAACTCAGTCGAATTTAGGCATGCCATAACCCCACATCACGAGGGACTTGTTGGGCATATTGAGCCAATTTCTATGGTTGAAAATATCCATCCCAGAAGCCGTTCCTCCTCCGCACCTTGTAGAAGCTGCTAATAAAACGTCGGCATATGAGCACACAAGCTTGTCTAGGATCGCCACAACTCCTGCAGGGAAGAGGTGGGTGGGTGGATCAGGCAAGAGAGTGAGACGGAAGCTGCAAGGAAACATCTGCACGAGAGCACATAAGGTTGTCAATGATTGCCATTCCGCTTGAAAGAAGGGGGAAAGGGGGTGGAGGTGGGAGAAAAAGGCAGGAGGGTGAGGGGGGGCTTCGTGCAGAAGCTGCTAACAGCAAAGGAGAAAATACGTAGTAGATTCCCTTGTACACGATACCTACCTTGTACTGGTTTCTGAGTCAGCTTAACACGGAGACGAGGCAAGCGAGCGGACCCACGCACAAAGACCAAGGCGATGCATCGGAGAAACAGGGCAAAGCTGAACGAGAAAGGAAGGGACTTGGCACAGAGCAGGCGAGATCTTTCTTTGCTTCCAGGGATGCTATCAGCGACTCTTACTTGCCTCCCAGGCTCATATCTCCCCCGTATAGAATAAAAATATAAATTGCTCTTAGTGTTACAGTTTCCCTGCCCAGGCTGGGCATCGGCGGAACTTACCCAGGTCATATCCCCTGGCAGCTGGCAGGAGCTCTTCAATCATGACACTGCCGTTGATTTGCTTCCTCATGCTCGCCAGCTCCCTGACTGCCACGTCAGCAACACCACCGCCATTGCTGCTGCCGCTGCTGGTGGTGCTGGGCTCTTGGTTCTCTTCAGCCTTGCGGTACTGTTGCTCCAGGGCCTCCCACTGGGCTGACTCGCCTGCTGCTGCTGCTGCTGCCGATTCTTCTGCTCCTCTTGCTCCTGCTGAACCTTCGGCTGCTGCTCCTGTTTTTGCTACTGATGCTGCTGCTGCTGCTGCTGCTGCTGCTGCTGCTGCCACAGCTTCTGACGTATCTGCATCCAATGCACCCGTTGCTTCTCCACCTCCTCCACCTCCTCCACCTCCCCCACCCTCACCTCTTCCTCCTCCCACCAGCTGGCCACTGATCGGGACATTGGCAGCGACGAACACAGCCTGAGCCGAGGTCCATCCCCTGGCAATGCCCACTTTGGTTGCTGACACGTTCATGCACCAGTGCACCTGCTGCTCAAACTGGTGCAGCGGCTGCTGTTGAGAGCTCGGGGGTTGTTGTTGTTGGTCCGAGGGTTGTTGGTCCGAGGGTTGTTGGTCCCCCACTGAAGAGTTTGCACGTTCTTGCTCTGCCTCCTGGATCTGTTTCGGGAGACATGGTGGGGGGAGAAGGGGGGAAGGAGAGAGCGGGGAGAGGAAAAATTAAAGCCCTTTGTCTGACCAAACTCTTTTTGGCCGCTGACACGTTCAGGCATCGCTGCAGCTGCTGCTCAAACTGGTGCAGAGGCTGCTGGTAGTGCGAGGGTTGTTGGTGCCGCTGGGAGTCCGGGGGTTGTTGTTGGGAGTCCGGGGGAGCCTAGAGGGGGAGGAGAGAGGGGGTGGAGAAGAGGTGAAGGCCCGTTGCCAGGCGAAGACCACTTGGACCGCTGCCACGCTCATGCACCATGCAGAGGTGACTTTTGAGTCGACTCAACAGTCACGCTCATGCACCATGCAGCTGCTGGTGCAACTGATGCAGCACCTGCGGTTCGTGGTGCGGGGATTGTTGCTGCTTTTGGCAGTCCGGGGTTTGTTGCTGGTCCCCCACTGAAGAGTTCGACGTGACTTTTGAATCGATCGACTCAAAAGTCACCTGAAGAGTTCGCACGGTCCTGCTCTGCTTCCTCCCTCTGGTTGGGGCGACACGGCGTGGAGAAAAGAGGGGGGATGCTACCGTCTTGTGCTGTGTGCTTTGCAAATCTTACCACTCTTATGCCATGCGCTTACCACACCCCCCCAACCTTACCCCTCTCCACCCAACGCTTACCACTCTCCCGCCACCAGATCGGGTTGCGGGTGCACCGCCATTACCGTCTTTCCCCAAGCTTTTGCTATACTCTGACTGCTCTCAACCCAAACTTACCACTCTCCACCCGACCTTACCATTCTCCCTGCCACCACATCGGGTCACGGTCGGGACGGGCTTGGGCAGAGTAGTGAGCAGGCTTATAGCGTCCTCTTTATGACTTGCCACTCTCCGCACCTTATGCTGTGTGCTTTCCTTCCCCCTCTCCCCCAACCTTACCACTCTGGCTGCCACCACATCGGGTCGCAGGTGCACCGCCAGGACGGGCTTAGGCAGAGTACCGAGCAGGCTTGTAGCGAGTACATGCAGCTGCCTGCTGTACGGCAGAGCGCTTAAAGCGAGGCTGCCTGTAGGCGGGTTGAACTCGATCCTGGCACCTGTGGCTTTGAGCCACACCACCACGTCTTTATCGTGCCTGAGTGAATCACAGGGGAATGGAGGGACGAAAGGAGAGGAACCGAGTCAAGGCAGGTATCAGATTCTATCCTGGCATCTGTGGCCTTGAGCCACTCCGCCACGTCTTTGTCTTGCCTGAGATGTGGGATTGAAAGGGGAACGGAGGCTATAGCGAGGTTGATTGTTTTTTTTAGGCGCCTCAAAAATCGTCTTTGTCTTGCCTGAGATGCGGGATTGAAAGGGGAGAGGAGGCAATAGCGAGGTAGCTTGTGGGCGGGCGGGTCAAACTCAATCCGTGCAGCTGTTTCCTTGAGCCACATCACTTTTGAGCCACATCACTTTTGAGCCACATCAATTTTGAGCCACATCACCTTTGAGCCACATCACTTTTGAGCCACAGCACTTTTGAGTCACATCACTTTTGAGCCACATCACTCTTGAGCCACATCACTTTTGAGCCCCATCACTCTTGAGCCACATCACTAAAAAATGTTTCCTTGAGCCACATAGCTCCGTCTTTATCATGCTTGAGGTGTGGGAGGGAGTGAAGGGGAAGGAAAAGGAGAATGAAAGCATGAGGCCGTCTGCACTGCAGGGGTTTCAAACTCCATGCTGCTAGCTGTTGGCTTGACCCACACCACCAAATCCTTGACTTCCTGAGTGGACGACACACATATCAAGGCGGGAGGAGGGATGTGGGATCGACGCAGAAAGGAAGTCAAAGGTGAGGCTGTCTGTGAGGCGGGTCGAACTCGATCCGTGCATGTGGGCGTTGAGCCCCACCACCACGTCCTTGCCTTCTCAGGGTGGATGATAGAGATGTGGGAGCAGAGGGGAAGGGGGGTCAACGGAGGGGGCAGTCCATAGGCGGGTCAGACTCGATCCTGGCCTCTGGTGCCTTGAGCCACACCACCACGTCCTTGTCTTTCCTGAGAGGATGACAGAGACATCAGAGTGGGATGTGCGAGCAGAGGGGAAGGGGGGTCATGAAGTGGCGGTCTATAGGCGGGTCGAACTCGATCCTGGCCTCTGGTGCCTTGAGCTAACCAGCCACACCCTGGCCTTGCCTGAGTGGATGACAGAAAAAAACAAGGGAGGACGACTGGAAGTGAGAAAGGCAGGGCAACTTGGCAAATGGCAGGTACCATGCCAGCCAGAACGGCTCGGATGCACCGGGCCTGCAGCGAAGGTTCGGACTAACAGGCTTGGCCCTAACGCAACCTTGACGCAGCCCATGCTCAGACGGGTTTGGATCACCAGAGCTACAGATCTGGACCTACCGTGCCTGCCGAGCACGTTCGGACCTACCATACCTGCACCGAAGGCTCGGACGTACCAAGCCTGCATTAGCACTTGAACAACGTCGGCCCGAACGGGGAGATGCAGATCGAGGGTGTTAGAGTCAAGGGGCACGTGCCCCATGGCGTATGGCAGCATGTGGCCGATGATGGATGCGAGGGGCTCTGCGGGTAACAGGGGGGGAGAGGGGGAAGGAGGGGGGAGAGGGGGACGGGAGGGGGAAGATAGGGGGAAGGGAAGAGAGAGTGTTGGAGTTCAGGGGTATGTACTCCATGGCGTATGGCAGGATGTGGCCGATGATAGATGAGAGGGGCTCTGCGGCTAACAGGGGGGGAGAGGGGGAAGGGAGGGGGAAGATGGGGGGAAGGGAAGAGAGAGTGTTGGAGTCCAGGGGCATGTACTCCATGGGTATGGTAGGATGTGGCCAGTGATGGATGCGAGAGGCTCTGAGAGGGAAGAGGGGGTGGGGAGAGGGCAAGAAGAGAGTGTTTGAGCCCAAGGGCACATGCCCCATGCAGTATGGCAGCAGCAGGTGGCCCACGGTGGATGAGAGGGGCGCTGCACAATGGGAAAGCGCGGGCAGTAAGATGGGTTGGTCCGAGGCAGGGGAGGGGATTGAGGGGTGTTGGAGTCGAGGGGCACGTGGCCCATGGTGTCTGGCAGGACGTGGCCGATGGTGGATGAGACAGGGGCTGTGGAAAGGGAACGAGCGGCAATAACACGGGTTGGTCGGAGGAAGGGGAGGGGATTGAGGGGGTGTTGGAGTCGAGGGACACGCGCCCATGGCGCATGACAGGATGTGTTCGATGATGGATGAGAGGGGCTCCGTGGAAAGGGCAGCAGGGAGGATGGGAAAGGGGAGCGGGAGCAAGGTGTTGGACTCCGAGGGGCATGCCCCATGGCTGATGGCAGGACGTGGCTGATGATGAACGAAAGGGGGTCTCAGGGGGGAAAGGAAGAAAGCAAGGCGAGGAAAAGAGAGGGGGGAGGAAGGAAGACAATAGTGATGGAGAAGAGGTGGGTTGGAAAGGGTTATCGGGAACTTATGGTTTAGGGAACGAAGAAGGGAAGACAGCTGAGGGTAAATCGTCTCACAAACCATACATAAGCAGGCTACTTTATAACATAAGCACCCGACCTCAGCAGCAGTATACGTTAGAAACTCACCATTCACAAAACGTGGTCTTTGCCATAAACATATCAGTACACAAGCGACTTTCAGTTGAAGAACCTCCCACTATATAAGGACGACTTAAAGTTGAGAGACTCACCATAGAGGAACGGGGCGAGGAGAAGGTGTGGCGATTGCATCCACGTGCAGCCAACAGAGGGAATCTCCTCGGCGCAGCAGCAACCAACACAGGGGCCATGGCGTCAGTCAATCACGCAGCTCGGTATAGGCACTCACCATAGAGGAACGGGGCTTGCTGGAGCTGAGGCGACTGCACCCACACGAAGCCAACAGAGGGATTTCTTAGCCCAGCAATGACTGGGGCATGCGCACTGGTACTACCACCAGAAGTAACACCGCCTTGCACTCCAGCGTTGGGCAGAGCAACAGCGCGTGCGAGGAGCAGGAAGAGGTCCAGAGACATCCAGGCGACTTGAGGGAGGGAGGGAGTTGTTAGCGTTGCAGTACCCAGAGAGACTCACCATAGAGGAAGGGGGCTCGCTGGAGATTCGGCGACTGCACCCACACGAAGCCAACCGAGGGGTTTCTTAGCCCACCGGCTCGAGCAGCGCTGGGCTGAGCAGTGCTCGGTTCAGCAGCAGCGCGTGCGAGCAGCAAAAAGAGGTCCGGAGACATCCAGGCCACTTCAGGGAGGGTGGCGATTCTACCCGAGCCCGAGGCTTGGGAGCCAGCCCCGGAATCGGAGGACTGGGAGCCGGTCCCGAGCGTAGAGATGTTGAAGAGGTCCCAGTAGGCGCAGAGGGGGAGAGGGCGGGCGAGAGAGACGCGGCTGTCCCCCACCTGAGAGAGTGAGTGCAGAGGGAAAGGCAGAGGAATGGCCATCAGCGAGATCCTCTAGCCTTACGGCCTGGGAGATGTTGACGAGGTCCCAGTAGGCGCCGAGGGGGAGAGGGCGGGCGAGAGAAACGCGGCTGTCTCCCACCTGAGAGAGTGAGTGCAGAGGGAAAGGAAGAGGAATGGCCATCAGCGAGATCCTCTGGCCTTACGGCCTGGGAGATGTTGACGAGGTCCCAGTGGGCGCAGAGAGGGCGAGGGCGCGCGAGAGGGGTGCGGCTGTCTCCCACCTGAAGGGAGAGAAGGAAGAAAGAAGTGGCATGAAGGGCAAGCGGGAAGGGTTTAGAAGTACTGTTTATGAGCGTGTGTGGAGTACCGTTTACGAGCGTGTGTGGAGTACCGTTTACGAGCGTGTGTGAAGAGAAAGCATGCCTGTTCGCCTCACCTTGGGCAGCACGAGCACACGGCCAGACGTGTGCGCCACCCTCGCAGCCTCTAGCAGGTGCAGCAGCCGAGTGTGTGCGTGTGCGAGCATGTAGGCCCGGGCATGTGTCTCACCTTAGGCAGCACCAGAATGCGCCCAGACATGTGCGCCACCCTCGCGGCCTCCACCAGGTGCAGCCGGGCGTGGGTGGTCTGGCTGTTTGTGAACCCAAACACCAGGAACCGCGGGCGAGATGTGCTCTGGTGTGGGTATGAGGGGAGGGAGGGAGGGAGGGAGGGAGAGAGGGAGGGAGGGAGGGAGGGAGGGGTGGGGAAGGAAATGGGTTGAAGGGGGTTCAGCCTCCCCAGCAGCCGAGCGTGGCTGATCTGGCCGTGGCTGATCTGGCCGTGGGTGGCCTTGTCGCCCGTGAACCCAACACCAGGAAGCATGGGCGAGACGTGCTGTGCAGCAGATGAGGCAGGAGAGGGGGAAACATGGCAGGGGGGAGAGGGGGAAACATGGCAGGGGGGGAGAGGGGGAAACATGGCAGGGGGGGAGAGGGGGAAACATGGCAGGGGGGGAGAGGGGGAAACATGGCAGGGGGGGAGAGGGGGAAACATGGCAGGGGGGGAGAGGGGGAAACATGGCAGGGGGGAGAGGGGGAAACATGGCAGGGGGGGAGAGGGGGAAACATGGCAGGGGGGAGAGGGGGAAACATGGCAGGGGGGGAGAGGGGGAAACATGGCAGGGGGGGAGAGGGGGAAACATGGCAGGGGGGAGAGGGGCCGTTGAAGAGTCAGACTTCCCAGAAGCCTAGCGTGGGTGGTCTGCCCGTCCGTGAACCCAACACCAGGACGCACAGGAGTGATGCACTCTGCAGTCCGTGGAACAGGGTTGAAGTAGGAAGGGGGAAGGGGGGGGGGGGGGGGGTAGACTCCCCAAACACAAGGAACGGAGGGAGATATGTGATCTGTGGGCGGGAGATGAGGAAAGAGAGGGCAGGGGGGGCAGGGGGGGCAGGGAGGGTGCGGGGGGGGTGAGGGGTGAAGGGGAGGGGTATTCAGACCTGCCTCCACGAAGCCGAGGAAGGGCGGCTTTTATTAGAATTCTCAAAAACACCCACGGGGAAATCAGGGAAATTCAGACCCAGCTCCAGGAAGCCGAGGAAGAGAGGTCTGCCTGCGAGGGAGCCGAAGCACCAGGAACCGTGAATGGGACGTGCTCTGCAGTAGTGGGGCAGCGGAGTGTGCGTGGGGAAAGGGGGGGGTGTGGGAAGGGGGTAGGTTGGGGGGGGAGTGTTTCAGGTAACCTACGCACTGGGAGCCGTGGACGGGACATGCGCTGCAGTAGTGGGGCAGCGGAGTGCGCGTGGGGGGTTGTTGTGATCAGGGGGAGGTGGAGGGTGTGGTGGGGGTGGTGGGGTCCTAGGGGTGTGCAGCAGCAGCACTCACGCACATGTGACAGGGAGAGGGGCACCCCAGGTACCGGCCAGCAGCTCTCGGGCCATGTCCGACATCCCCCTGTGCTCGTATCGCCTGCACCACTCCCGTCGGCCCCCTGGCCCCTCTTGCCATCGCTTGCCACCCATGCAACACCGCCACCGGCGCTGTTGGTCCCATCGTGGGCACTTCCCTCTCTGCCACTCCCCTCTCTGCCACTCCCCTCTCTCCCTCTCCCCTCCCCGCACACCCGACTGCCTTCGACCGGCCTTCCCGCCAGCAGACCCCCCTCCACCTGTTTGATGCCCGCGCACACGGCGTCTGTACCCGCGGAAAGGCCCTCTAATCCCTCCACCCCCGTGAGATTCGCCGCCATTGCTGCTCGGATGTAGCTGCTGCCAGCAGCGCGTGCCAGCACGCCTCGCTTCCATGCCTCGGAACATATCTGCCCCACCGGACCTGCCTGCTGCTCCGCCACGCCAGCCTCGGTCAGAGGCTCGGTGCTGCTGCTAGCCTCGGTCAGAGGCTCGGCGTTGCTACTAGTAGCCTCGGATTCTTGACCTTCTTGCGCTCCTTGCTCTCCTTGCGCTCCTTGTTCCGCCTGCTCCGCTTGCTCCGCCTGCACCGCTTGTTCTGCGTGCTGAGCGCGGAGCGCCAGCTGTCTAAAGGCCTCGTGGAGACGTGCTGTACACGCATCCACCTCCGCCTCACTCCCCGCTCCAGAACTGACCTTGGTGTTGGTGCTGTCCTTGAGAACTGACGCTGCTGCCGTAGTACTATTCGACTGACTAGTATTTGCGACATTTGAACTAGCGAAGCTGTTGTTAAAGGTAGGGAAGCTGTTGTCGGCCTTATGACGAAGAAGGCGGAGGCAAGAATCGGATATTCCGAGGAGTCTAATAACGGGTACGTCGCTGTCGGGCGAATCACTGGTTCCAGAACTAGAGACGAGGTACGTAGGAACAGTGCTGGGGCTGCCTGACCTGCTGCTGCTGCTCCCACTGAAATCAAGTAGCGTCGCGCTCGCTGCTCCGTTATTGAGTTGCTCGATAACAGCCGTGTGAGGCAGACGGAACGAGACGGGGAATTCGACGAAGAAGATGACGTGGCAGACGAGGAACAGCACGACTACGACGAGGACCGGCTTGAGGACGGATGACGACAGGAATGACGGCAGAAATGACGGCGGGAACGGAGGAACGAAGGACGGCAGGAGTGGAGGGAGGAAGGACGGAGGTCTCTTGGTGAGCGACGCCTCGCGAGTCACTGGCAGACCGGCGACGTCGTTCGCATTCGCTTGTGCGACGGATTCCGTGTCGCTCGAATCCATTCCGCAGAGAGGGAAGGCGGGGCGAATCTAGCACTACCAAGCAAAGCAGTCACATTTGAGAATGCAAAAAAACCAACTTTCCGAAAGACGGACGGCATGTCATGCCAGCGCGCTGCTCGTCTGTTCTCTGTTTCGACCTAGAATGTGAACTTAGAGGAATTACATCCTGTTGTGCAGCATCCGCACCGCACCGCACCAGCAGCACGGCTCGTCTGCAGCACTGCTAGGAAAAGCGTACCCGGCTGTAGCTCAGCTCACATCACATCCCGTGGGGTCCTGTGTAGTGCTGGCTTGCTTCCCATGGCTGCAATGCGATGCCACAAGGACGGGACGGGACGAGGGAAGCACACTTCAGTAACGCGGTGTGTCAGAAGGAGTCAGGCTCTGCATACAGCGGGAAGGCATGAATCTCGGCATAACATGTCGCGATTCTGTAGAAGGATTGTTCAACAGTGTCAGCAATATAACATGTATGACCTGTTCCCACCTCCCCTAGTGTCTCAGGACCATTTTGTGCAATGATTTTTTCCAAATATCCTGAAATTTTCCTGGCTTTCTAATAAATGAACAAAAATTGCACATCCAGAAAATCTAAGCAAACACACGGATCAAGTTGTCATAGCAAAAACAATTAGGAGGCAGGTGTACAGTGTAACACCTCCTGTTGGCGATCGCAGAAGACTACTTCGGGGATTGCCGAGGGTTCGCAAAACCCCTCGATGCGGAAAACTTGCGCCCAGTGTTGCCAATTTGGCGGGAAACCTTAGATTCTTGCACTGCTACTTTAGTAGGCTCTGTGCGTTCGCTTACATACCAACATCATCTCCGCTAACACGTTCGCTCCCACCTCCACTAGTGCTTTCGCGGCGTCGCCGTCGGTATCTACCCATAGCGGCATTGGCGCAGATTGTTGACTGGTCGCCGTGTTCCTTCCTGGTTTCGGCGCCGCTGCTCGATCATCGAGTTGACCCACCCTCAGCCATGCTTAGCGCTGCGCTCGCCCCCCATTGTGCCTCTCCGGTATGCTCCCTCGCGTCCTCGTTCCCATTCTTCCCGCGCTCAACCGCTTCCCGCGCTCAACCGCTCCCCGCGCTCAACCGCTTCCCGCGCTCAGCCGCTCCTCGCGCTCAACCGCTCCCCGCGCTCAACCGCTCCCCGCGCTCCTCGCCTCCCGTGGCTCCCGTTGTGCCTGCTGTTGCTTCGCACTCTGTACGGTTCTCCTGAGCGCTCGCCATCGGTGCGCCACCATCGCCTCATGCTGCATTTGTGAGGAGCCTATTTTTGGGGCGCCTCAAAAATAGACTCTGTTCGGTTCTCCTGAGAGCGCTCGCCATTGCGGCGCCACCATAGCCTCTTGCATTCCTCTCTTCCGCCAGTCCCTTGTTTCCCCCTCCTCCCCTTCCTCCCCCTCCTCCCCCTCTCCCCATTCTCCCCCTCCTCCCCCTCCTCCCCCTCCTCCCCCTCTCCCCATTCTCCCCCTTCTCCTTTTCCTCCTCCCATCTCCCGTTTTCCTCCTCCCCTTTTTCCCGCCCCCTCCCCCAAATTCCGCCAGTCCGCGCTTGTTTCCGCCAGCGCACACCCCTCTCAAGCGTCAGCGCGCCAAGCAGCGCATCTCCGCTCCGCCGCCATGATCGGCGGAGCGTCCGCCCTCCCCTCCGCGTGCCCCCCCGCGCAGCTGCACCGAGATCTCCCCGCACCTACCCCCGCCCGCACGCGCGCAGAGACGTCTCCAGCAGCAGCAGCAGCAGCTTCCGCCAGCGCAGCCGCCCCCGCCGCAGGCGCGGACGCGAGGGGGGGGGATGCGCTGACGGCGCTGAACCCAGTGGTGGCAGGGCTAGCAGCGTCGCGCACGGCGCAGCTGACAGACGCGGCGAGGGCGCTCAAGGCGCAGGGCGTGCCCCTCATCGAGCTGGCTGCGGGGGAACCGGATTTCGACACCCCCAAGGAGATCGTAGAGGTGAGGAGGGGGGATTAGGTGTGAGTACGAGGTGGGTGGGTGCACGGATGGGAGGAGGGCGGTGAAGGCGCAGGGGGGTCCCGCTGATCGAGCTGGCTGTGGGGGAGGCTGACTTAGGACACTCCCAGGGAGATCGTGGAGGTGAGTGTATTTTGAGTCGACTCAAAATACACCTGGACAAGCTGACACACGGCTTATTCAAGAGGAGACGTGCTTTGATAGCATGGAAATTGCCGAAGAAGATCAAGGATTTTATAGTCGCGGCTAAGAAATGCTAGAATAGTGTTCTCATTTTGTTACACTGGTCTAGTTTATAGCCGGGCTTCAGGACCCCTTCTCGGGGTTGGCGTGGACCCTCGAGAATTTCTCGGGTCGCGCTTTTCCTACATAAACAGCTCGAATGCTTTGGGTGTTCAGCAGATGCTGATGAAGGCTTTTTTAAGCCAAAACTAGTTCATCCTGGTTTTAATCAAACCAACTGTTGATTCTTTGAAGCTCGAACTCGAACTCAGAACCGCTGCCTCGCTACGCATTTTACCATCATGGATGGGAGGAGGGCGCTGAAGGCGCAGGGGGGTCCCGCTGATCGAGCTGGCTGTGGGGGAGGCTGACTTGGACACTCCCAGGGAGATCGTGGAGGTGAGAGCGGAGGGAGGGGGAGTGGGGAGCGTTTTGAGACTTCATACAACTGACAGGTGTGTGGAAGTGAGCAGGGCGCTCAAAGCGCAGGGGTCCCGCTGATCGAGCTGGCCTCGGGGGAGCCTGACTTGGACACTCCCAAGGAGATCGTAGAAGTGAGTGTGGAGGGAGGGGAGGACGGGGGGTTTTGACGTCAGAAGAGGTGGGTGGAAGGAGGAGGGCGCTGAAGGCGCAGAGCGTTCCGCTGATCGAGCTGGCTGGTGGGGAGGCGGACTTGGACACTCCCAAGAGGATTGTGGCGGTGGGGGTGGTGGGAGGGGGGGGGGGCAATTTGAACATTTTTACAACTCATTTGTGAGAGTTCGAAAAGAATGGCGGCACTGTAGTGGTGGGAGCGGGCGAACGATTTGAGCCTTGATAGAATTCACCGAGGTGGGTGAAAGGGTGCAGGGCGCTCAAGGCACCGAGCGCTCCGCTAATCGAGCTGGCTGGTGGGGAGGCTGACTCGGACATTCCGAAGGAGATCGTTGAGGTATGAAGAGAGTACAGAGACGTAGAGAGGATGTGAGTGTGAGGGAAGTGAGTGTGAGGAAAGTGAGTGTGGGGGAAGTGAGAGTGTGAGGGAAGTGAGTGTGGGGGAAGTGAGAGTGTGAGGGAAGTGGGTGTGAGGGAAGTGAGTGTGGGGAAGTGAGTTTGGGGGAAGTGAGTGTGGGGGTAGTGAGTGTGGGGGTAGTGAGTGTGAGGGAAGTGAGTGTGAGGGAAGTGGGTGTGAGGAAAGTGAGTGTGAGGGAAGTGAGTGTGAGGGAAGTGAGTGTGAGGGAAGTGAGTGTGAGGAAAGTGAGTGTGAGGGAAGTGAGTGTGAGGGAAGTGAGTGTAGAGGAAGGGGATGTACGAATAGGGTGGGTGGAAGCAAGCAGGGGGGGCGCTCAAGGGGGATTTAGCAGCGCCATGCACGGCGCAGCTGACTGACAGACGATAATCATTGTCGCAAGGGTAGCCATTCTCATCGTACCCCCCTTCATCATTGCCATTATCTCAAGTATCACCCGTACAATGACCTCCCTCGCTCATCAGCCCCTTCGTTGTAATCACCCCCACCACCAGGCAGGAGTGGAGGCTCTACGGCAGGGCTTCACCCGCTACGCGCCCAACCAGGGCAACCTGGAGCTCAGAGCGGCCATCTGCGAGAAGCTCAAGAGTAGGTCATGCGTGTTGGATCGGTATGCAATGGTTGAATGAATGGTGGGCCAGCCATGGGCGAGCCATGGGCGAGCCATGATCCAGTATGCTCCCTCTCCTCCCCACCCGTCTCCCACTGTTTCCAGCTGGCAACGTCCCCATCACTCACCAGAGGACCCACCGTTGCTGTGATCAACAGTGGCAAGCTGCCAACCCGCCATGTTCTCTCCCATCCCCCTCTCCCCCCCCCCCCCGCGCACCCCCCATTTCAGCTGAGAACGGCCTCACCTATGCGCCAGAGGACGTTGTTGTGACCAACGGCGCCAAGCAGGCGATCTTCCAGGCTGTCATGGCCACCTCTGGGCCGGGCGACGAGGTGAGATGGGGGATGCCGTGAGATGGGGTTTTCTTTAGAATTCTCGAAAACACCCTGCAAAATCGGGGGATGGGGTGAGATGGGGGATGGAACAGACGGGGAGTAACAGAGTGATTAATCGGAGTACCAAGCCGGCCATCCCTCAACCAGTTATGGCAAGGCAACATGTGGGCCTGGGCTGGGGAGGGGATGATGAGGTGAGACCGTGAGATCGCTGGTAGTATGGTATGTCTGCCTGGATGGAAGCTTGTAGGAAGGGCGTCGTCTGCCCTGCCCTGCCCCTTAGCTGGAATGTACATCACCGGATTGCCGTGTTACCGTGTTACCGTGTTACCACTACTGCTGCCACATTACGTGCTTGTTACACATTGCTGCATCCTCTTGTCACCCGCCTCTCTTTCTTTGCTTACTTCTCATCGTCTTCTCATGCACACACAAGGTCATGACCCCCCTGCACCACTAGGGTCCCATAATCCGTGCACACACGGCACAGGGTGTCAGTCAGGGTCGTTTTCCCAACTGCCTCCCTCACTCACTGTTGCTCCCCCCTTGCATGCTTCCATCCTTCCTGATTCCTTCTTCCTCTCCCCCTCCGCTCACTCCGCCCTCTCCCCTTCCGCCCTCTCCCCCTCCGCCCTCTCCCCTTCCGCCCTGCATTCCGCCCGCTCCCCCTCCCACCTGTTTCCTCCTCATATCTGACCTTCCCCCCCATTCACCCCCACACCCCCCCAAACAGGTGATGATCCTGGTGCCTTACTGGGCCTCGTACCCCGAGATGCCTCGCCTGGTGGGAGCCACGCCCAGCTGTCACCATCCCAGCTGTCACCATCCTGGCTGTCAGTGCGAGGAGGGGGCGAGCCACGTGGCATGCGGCATGCCACATCAGTTGTCTCATCGTCCATCACATGCTTCAACCTCCCCTCGCGCCTTCTTCCCTCCCCTTCCCCCCCCCACCAGGTGATCATCCCGGCGCCCTACTGGCTGTCCTACCCCAAGTTGGCGCGCCTGGTGGGAGCCGTGGGAGACGCGCCCGCCATCCCCGCCGTCACTGATCACTGCCACGCGGCATGCTCTCCACACTCCATGCTTTCAACTCCCCTCACGCCGTCTTCGCCTTATCCCCTCTCCTCCTCGCCTCCCCCCCCCATCAGGTGATCATCCCGGCGCCCTACTGGGTGTCGTACCCCGAGATGGCGCGCCTGGTGGGAGCCACGCCCGTCATCCTGCCCACCACCACCGCCGATTCCTTCCTCCTCTCCCCCACCGCGCTGCACTCCGCGCTCTCCCCCGCCTCGCGCCTCCTCATCCTCTGCTCGCCCTCCAACCCCACTGGGGCCGTGTACTCACCAGAGCAGTTGCAGGAGCTGGCTGAGGTTGTGGCTCAGCACCCTCGATTACTGGTGAGTGGGCAACGGTGGCTGGTCCTCCTCTCCCGCCTCGCGCCTCCTCATCGTCTGCGCGCCCTGCAACCCCACTGGAGCTGTGTACCCTCCAGCGCAGCTACAGGCGTTGGCTCATGTGGTGTCTCAGCACCCATGGCTCTTGGTGAGTGCTGCTCCCCGTGGGAAGTGGTGCTCCCCGTGGGAAGTGGTGCTCCCCGTGGGAAGTGGTGCTCCCCGTGGGAAGTGGTGCTCCCCGTGGGAAGTGGTGCTCCCCGTGGGAAGTGGTGCTCCCCCTCGTGATTGTTGGTCTTGGCAATCCGCCCTTTCCCCTGCATCTTCCAGCAAATCATCAACCCACCAGCTCAGCACGTCACCGCCCATTCGATCCAATGTGCCTTGCCCTCCCCCGTCACACTGGGCCCTAGTGGACTTAAATAAAGTTCCCCATTCACGAGCACGTTGTCCTGGTTACTTCCCCATTTCCCTCTCTTCCCAATCCTCTCTCCCTTTCCAGGTGCTCGTCGACGAGATCCACATGCTTGTGATCATCTACCCGCCAGCTCAGCACGTCAGCTGACCATGTGAAGTGCTGAGCTGGCGGGTAGATAGCGCTACCATGTGCCATGTGCGTTTCGCCCCTTCATTCCCCTCTCTCGCTCTCTCTTCAGGTGGTAACCGACGAGATCTGCAAGCGCATTATCATCCACCCACTAGCAGATCACTTGAGCTTACCCTATTTGTTTCCTCGCGACCTTTCCACTCATTCCCCTATCATCGACCCACCAGGTGCTGGCGGACGACATCCACGGCCACATCATCTCCCCTCCAGCGCAGCCCATTAGCTCAGCTGGTGTGTTTCCATGCGACCCTCCCGCTCATTCTCCTCTCTCCCCCTCCAGGTGCTGGCCGACGAGATCCTCAACCCACAACATCTACCCACTAGCAGATCACTTGAGCTTACCCAGTGTGCCTGAATACCCACCCTGTGCCTTGCTTGCCCTCCCCCGTCCCTCCAGGTGCTGGCAGACGAGATCTACGAGCACATCATCTACCCGCCAGCTCAGCATGTGAGCTTCGCTGCTCTCCCCGGCATGTGGCAGCGGACTCTCACAGTCAACGGCTTCTCCAAGGTGCGGCACCCTTTCCCCGCCCTAGGATTGGATAAGGGTGCCAGAAAAACGGGTAATTGACTCTTGGCCATCCCCGGCATGTGGCAGCGCATGCTCACTCACAGTCAACGGCTTCTCCAAGGTGCGGCACTCTTACAGCCGGTCAGCAGCTTCTCCAGAGTGAGTTATGAAGAGCTCGCGGCCGTTTGGTCATTAGCCATTACCCAGCATATGGCAGCGCACTCTCTTGGTCATCTGTCAGAGCTGGGAGTCGGACAAAGTTTTGTGCCAACTGTTCCCCCGGTCCCTTCCTTGGTAGGGTATAGGGGCCACAATTTGTAAGAAGAGGGAATCGACAACGGTAGGACAAAACAATGACCTGGCGTGGCTGGAGTTGTATGCAGCACTAACTGGCACTTCCATACCTCCGGCCCCATTTTCGGCCTTGGCCTGGCCCCCATACCCTATCATGTCGTGTCCACCTTGTTTTGAGTCGACTCAAAAGCTTGGCCCCTATACCCTATCGTGTCGTGTCCAGCTTTCTCTCTAACCCCTACTACCGTGGCCCCTGCCCTGTGCCCAATCATTTCGTGCCAGCTGTTCCTTTCTATCCCCAGCCTGGGCCCCTACACCCTGTCATGTTGTGTCAACTCTTATCCTAATCCCCTGCCTTGGCCCCTACCCCCTATCAGGCATTTGCCATGACCGGCTGGCGCCTGGGCTATCTCGCAGCCCCCAAGCCATTCGCTGCAGCGTGCAACCGCATTCAGAGCCAGGTGAGGCTTTGGGACAATACCAGTGCCCTGTCCACCCCTCTGTTTGCAGAGCCAGGGGCACCCTGTCAGACTGTCCACCCCACACACCCGCCGAACATGAGGATTGGGCTATCTGGCACAAATTCAGCGCCCAGTCCCTCTTCCTGCCGCTCCATGAATCCCCACACACCCCCCAATGTCCCCCTCAATCACTGTGTCCCAAGAATGTAAACCCCCCTCCCATGCAGTTCTTGTCGCTGCTCTCCACATGCCCCTATACTCATTTTTTAGGCGCCTCAAAAATAGACTCCTCACGCATGGGTTTTGAGGCGCCTCAAGAATATGCTCTCCAGATGCCCCTGCACCCCTCTCTCTCACACATTCACTCAGACCACGTCTGACTATCTCAGCAGCATCGCTCAGAAGGCAGCCCTGGCAGCCTCACTGCATACTATGTCCCAAGGGCCACGAGGCAGATCAAGTACGCCTCCTATCGTCCCCCATGCTCGTCCCCCTCTCAAACCACATCTGGCGCCAGTAGCATCACTCAGAGGGTAGCCCTGACAGCGTTCCGGCTGGGGCCACGCGGCGGGTGAACCCCCTGTACTCAAGGCCATGTATTCCGCTCCCTTCTCTCCTCACCATTCAGACCACATCTGGCGCCAGCAGCATCGCCCAAAGGGCAGCCATGGCAGCACTCCAGCTGGGGCCACGTGGCAGGTCAACCCCCCATACTGAAAACCATGCATTTCCCTCCCTTCTGTCTCCTCACCCCCCATTCAGACCACATCTGGCGCCAGCAGCATCGCTCAGAAGGCAGCCATGGCAGCATTCCAGCTGGGGCCGCATGGCGGCGCCACCGTGGCTGCGATGGTGGACGCGTTTAGGAGGAGGCGAGACATGCTGGTGGCTCGGCTGGAGTCGATACCTGGGGTCAAGCTGGCGGTGCCTCAGGTGAGGGTTTGCACTGGAGATGTTACCAGGTGAACGATGGGAATGAAGGCGCCACAGTGGCTGCAATGGTTGAAGCATTTAGAAGGAGGCGAGATATGCTGGTGGCGCGGCTGGAGAAGATACCCGGGGCTAAGCTGGGGGTGCCTCAGGTGAGGAATGAAGGTTCCGTGATTGAATTGGCAGCCTTCTGCCTCTTCCCTGACGTCTCCTGCTACTAATGCCCTCCGCCACATCTCCTCCTACCTACCCCTGTTTCTTGTCTGACTCTTTTGCTCCTCCCCTGCCAACCCACACCTCAACCCACCAGGGAGCCTTTGACCTCTTCCCCCTGACGTCTCCTCCTGCTGCTGCTTACCTCAAATATCCTGAACCCCGCTTCTCGGATGGTAACCCTCCCATCTCTTCACACCGTATTCCCCATTTCGACCACCAGGGAGCCTTCTACCTCTTCCCTGACGTCTCCTCCTTCTACGGCCGGTCGGGTCCAGGGTTCGGGCCAATCACAGACAGCGAGTCCATGTGCCGATACCTTCTAGAGAGAGGGCAGGTGAGGGGAGCAAGAGGGACGGGTATGGGCGTTTACTACTCTCACAGCTTAGGCCGATCACAGACAGCGAGTCCATGTGCCGATACCAGGGGTTTGGGCCAATCACCGACAGCGATTCGATGTGCGGATACCTCCTGGAGAGGGGGCAGGTGAGGGTTGGTGGTTGGGCTGGTTGACGGGTTTCTGCTTAGGGTTTATGTGCTCAGAGCATGGCTTTATGCTGTGCTATCGCCTGGGTTTGGGCTGACCACAGACAACAAGTTGAACCAATCACAGACTGGGAGTCCTCGTGCAGGTGGGTGGCGATAAAGTTGGTTCAGAAAATGGTTTGAACAGTTTCACATCGTAATCTTATGAGTGTTTTCATCAATGTCTTAGACGTTTCACTTTTATACGTCACGCACGTAGTATGGTCTCCTCCTTCCCTTGCTTGTGCCCTTCTATGTGATGAAAAACTTCTCTTTTTCCCCCGATCAAACCTCACCTCCCCCCTAGTGCATCCAGGTGGCTCTGGTGCCAGGGGTGGCCTTTGGAGCTCTTCCTTACTGTTCCTTACTTTTCTCCTAGCCAATTCCTATCTCCCTCTCGATGCATCCAGGTGGCTCTAGTGCCAGGGGAGGCCTTTGGAGCACCGGAGTGCATTCGGATATCGTATGCGGCATCCGATGAAGTGTTATTGGAAGCCATGGACAGGATCGAGAAGGCCATTTCTGAAATTGAGTAGGTGATAGGTCGTAACAAATTTCTATCCAACAGTTAATTAAGGGCCTCAGACGAATCCGTGCCAATTGTCTTTGATAGAGCAGCGCGACATACTATACCGGAGCGGTCCTTGCTCGAGATTGAATGAAACTCGAGGCTGTGTTCGATGAGGCTTTCGGCGCTGCCCGAAATGCGAGCTAGAGCCTGGCGGGTCGTTTCTTTCTGGACTGCGGAGCCGTGAAAAAACAGTTTCTTTTTTCGACCCGAGCATCCACACGGCGTGTGTACGGAACGCCTGGAGCATGAAATGTGTTCAAGTGACTGGAAAATCTCAACTGCGCCTTTTGAAACTTGCCCTCACTGCCATCGCCTCAGTCCTTCCCCTGGCTTTTCCCCTGGTGGGTTTGGTCCTTGGGGTTGCTGCTGGAGCCATACATCAGAGCCGACGGCCCAAACTTCCGTTTTGCACTCTCCCACCGTTTGTTCTGTGCTTGGGCTGTAGTACCTAGAGCCTAGCAAACTGGCGTCAGAAACTAACGTCTAGTATCTAGGGTCTAGTTCCCTATTTATAGGGTTGAACGGCATTGTGCGTGGTGACGACGAGTAAGTCGCGGCGCAATGGCGATCGATCCCGATGAGATCCAGGTGGGGCCGCAGGCCTCCATCTTCGTCGTCCTCGCCACGCTAGGTCTGGGGGCCGGCGCGTGCACGCTTGGCATCCTCGCTATGGTGCTCCCCTCTTCCGTGAGTAAGACGAAGCAGAGTAGCCAAAGTCGTCCGTCGTCATATTCGTTGTCACCACTCTAGCGTTGGGAGCTCGCTAAAGCGTTCTCGGTATCCTCGCTATGGTGCTCCGTTCTACCCTACAATGCATCGGTGCAACCTCAGCTACGATTTCCTCTTACGCCTCCATTACGTTATTTAACCAGGTAGAAAAGGCGTAGAATCGTCTTCCATTCTCTCCATCACCCTGCCTCTAACGGGGTTGCTTATGTCGCGTATCGGCGCGCAATAACCGGCATTTCCCAGAGGCCGCTTGGACGCCGCACGTCCCGTTTGAACGATGCCGTTCTGCACGTTCCGCTGGCATTTTGGCTTTACTAGGTCAAGATAGCCTTCCGTCGGTGCCTTTGGAGGGTGCTTCTGAGAATTCTCAAGACGACGTACATCCCGCTTGAGCGATGCCGGTCTGCACGTTCCGTTGGCGTTAGGTCAAGGTAGCCTTCCGGCTTATTGGTACCTTCGGTGGTGCGACGCACATTGCGCCTGACGTTCAGCCCTGGCACCTTCTGTGTCGACTGGAAGACCCCAAGAGGCCGGCAGCTGCACGTTCTGCTGCCATGGGGTCACGATAGCCTTGGTGTTTGTTGGTGCCTTTGGTGGTGCGACGCACGTTCCATTCATGTGATAGTCATCTCGTTTTGAGCCATCTCAAAACGAAATTACTATCACACAGTTTCATAGAGAGGCTGATTGCACGTTCCGCTGGCATTTCGAGGTCACGATAACCTTCCAGCTTGTTGGTATTCTTGTTGGCGCCTATCACGTGGTGCGGTGCACATTACTCAATGACTTTAGAGTCATTGAGCCCCTCGTCGGGAAATGACGCACAGCCCTAGTGTTGAGGCGCCTGCAGGGAAGTGGAGGGGAGGGAAGGGAAATGACACGAAGCTACGAGGGACGGATGTCATTTCCCTTCCCCTCCCCCCCCCCCCCCCCCCCACTTCCCTGCAGACATACATAGTGCCTCCAGAGGCGAACATCAGCGAAGTTCCACAATGCGGTTACCAGTTGAGCACTGCTACGCTGTTCGGGATACTAGCAGGGCTGCTGCTGGCAGCAGAAATGGTGATTGCCTCCCTTTCCCCTTTCCCCTTGTCTCACTCCCCTTCCCCAACCGCCCCCCTCTTTTCCCTCACCTTTCCTCCCTTGCAGTGCAGACATACACTGTGCCTCATTGCCTCCAGAGGCGAGCATCAGTCAGGTGCTACATGCTGCTAGCAGCAGGGATGTAACTGACATCCGCTTTCCCCCCGTCTCACACCTCTTCCCCCGCACAAACCCTCTTCCCCCCCCCCCCACACACACCCCACTCCCCTGCAGACGTACACGGTGCCTCCAGAGGCGAACATCAGTCAGGTGCTGGAATGCGGCTACCAGTCGAGCACCGCTACCCTGTTCGGGATCATAGGGGGGATGCTGCTGGCGGCAGGAATGGCTCTGATATCCGTGCTGGGGGGCTGCGTGTGCTGCGTCACCATCCAGTACGCCCATGGCCAGGCGCTCAAAGTCAGCATCGTGTGCTACACGCTGGCATGGTGAGAGCCCTTTCTGCTCCTGCCCTGTGTATGCATGGTGCATTGCATGCATACCACCCATCCCTGTACCCTGGGGGGCTGCGTGTGCTGCGTCGCCATCCAGTACGCCCATGGCCAGGCGCTCAAAGTCAGCATCGCGTGCTACACGCTGGCATGGTGAGCAACCAAGCATGCATGTATGCAAGCAAGGCATATGTCTCGTGTGCTCCTCTCTGGCATGGTGAGGGCAAGCGTGCAAGCATGCATGCATGCATGGCCATCCCTGTGTGCTGTGCCACCATCATCGGGTACCATCGGGTACCATCGGGTGTGCCAGGCGCTTAACGTCAGCATCGTGTGCTACACTCTTGCATGGTGACCGCACACAAGCACGCATGCATGCGTGCATGTATGCCACCCATCCCTGTATGCTACACACTCGCATGGTGAGGGCACGCAACCACTCATGCATGCATGCGTGCGTGCGTGCATGTATGCATGTAGGCATGTCTGTATGCCAGCCCATCCCTGTATGCTACTCGCTTGCCCTCAACGATTGCCACAAGCCACTCCCCCCCGCCCTCTCTCACACTTTCCCATGACCCCCACCACCCACCCACCCACCCACTGTTCCTTCTCTTGCCCTCCACCCAGAGCAGCGTTCTTCATATCTCAGGTGTGCCTCATGTCCTCTCCGAGCTCTCCCAACATCTACTCAAGTCCCTTCCCTTCCTCCCAACCCTCTCGCTCTCCCCCCTGTGTCTTCCCCTCCAGAATGGCGTTCTTCATCTCTCAGGTGTGCCTCATGTCGGGGGGCTCCCTCAACAACTACCACTAGTCACTCTTAGCACCCTCTCTCTCAACCCACTCTCTCAACCCCCCCTCAACCACCTCTCTCAACCCCCTCTCTCTCAACTCTCTTTCTCTCTACCCTCTCTCTCAACCTTCCCTCTCTCAACCCACTCTCTCGACCCCCCCTCAACCCCCTCTCTCTCAACCCCCTCTCTCAACCCTCCCTCTGCCTGCAGGGTGGCGTTCTTCATATCTGAGGGGTGCCTCATGTCGGGGGGATCGCCCTACAACCACTAAATGGCACTCTCCCCCCCAACCCTCTCGCACGCTCGCCCTCTCATGTCCCTGTATCTTCCCCTCCAGGGTGGCTATCTTTATTTCAGAACTGGGCCTCATATCGGGGGGATCTCTCAACAACTACTTAATGACACTCTCCCCCCCAACCCCCTCTCCCTGTTCAATGACCTGGCCCTCACTGTTTCCTTCTCTTCCCCTGCAGGGTGGCGTTCTTCATATCTGAGGTGTGCCTCATGTCGGGGGGCTCGCTCAACAACTACCACAAGTCAGTCACCAACTATCAGTACGACTATCAGCTGCGCACCTGCTACCAGCTCAAGACATCCACCTATATCGGTGCGTGCTTCGAGTGCGTTGGTGGGTGCTTCGAGTGTTGGTGGGTGCTTCAAGTGCGTTGGTGCATGCTTAGAGTGCATTGGTGCATGCTTACAGTGCGTTGGTGCGTGCTTCGAGTGCGTTGGTGCGTGCTTCGAGTGCGTTGGTGCGTGCTTCGAGTGCGTTGGTGCGCGCTTCGAGTGCGTTGGTGCGCGCTTCGAGTGCGTTGGTGCGCGCTTCGAGTGCGTTGGTGCATGCTTCGAGTGCGTTGGTGCGCACTTTGAGTGCGTTGGTGCGTGCTTCAAGCGTGTCGATATTGACAGTGGTGTTTGCAGTGCTGTACTACGAGGAAGCGCAGAAGTCGAAGTACGAGGCGTGGGTGGAGCAGGGCGCCCCCACCCCCTGCCTGTACTCCCTCAAAACCATAAAGAGCTTCCATTCTGCTCGAAAACTTGCCCTATCAGTCACTCCCCATCCTCCTTCCCTCCCTCTCCCCTCTCCCTCCCCCCCTCCGGTTCCCCTCTCCCTCCCCTTCCTTCGCCCCTCCCCCCTTGCAGTGGGAGCAGTGATGTCAATATTGACGGTGGTGTTCGCAGTGCTGTACCACGGGCAACCCTCATACCTTCCTACTATCCGTGCCTCCTACCTGGAACCTTATACCTTGTCCCCCCCTCCACCCCTTCCCCCCTTGCAGTGGGAGCAGTGATGTCGATATTGACAGTGGTGTTTGCAGTGCTGTACTACGGGCAAGCGCAGAAGTCAAAGTACGAGGCGTGGGTGGAGCAGGGCGCGCCCACGCCCCGCCTCTACTCCCTCGAGACGATGAAGAGCTTTGTCATTGCTGGGCCGGCTCGGGCCGGGCCTCTCAAGTCTGAAGATGATGACGATGACGATGATGATGACTTGAGAGAGGAGGAAGAGGAGGACGAGGAGGAGTATGATGTGTTTGAGGAGGACGAAGAGGATGACAGGCGGCCACTCAACCCCCGTAGGCATGATGACGACGATGATGATGATGATGATGATGAGCATGGGCGTGCTCACTAAGAGCAGGGTGTATAGCGTAGTGGGTATAGAGGTTGTAGATAGTTGATGTACCATAAACGCCCGGATATATGTCCCTAGGGTCTTTTTTCGTATACTGGTGAAAAGGGAGGGTGGGTTGAGTAAGGAAACCTGAAAATAAATTACCCGGGACCTATCTCATATTTTAAAGCATTCAATTTCTGAAAGCGTGTTCCTTCTCCAAATATGAAATGCATTCTTTCTGTCAAGGATGTTGATATATTTGCGGCTCTGCAACCACGAACTCCAGCTCGGCAGTCGTGGGTTGGGTTTTGGACACGCTCTGGCAGGCACTCTATTCCGAGTATCAACAAATGAGAAGAGGTGGTGGCGGCAGCATTTACAGCTCTCGGGTGAAGATTCCCGAGGCATCGAACCAATGCAGGGGGGACGGAGACGTGATTCCCTTTCACGTCTCTCTTCGAGAAACATGAAATCCTTTCTCGCCTCTCGTAGTTACGCCCACAGAGCCTCCTGCTCGGGCAAGTCTTATGCGAGTATCTACTGTCAAAACATATCTTAGTATGTTATTATAGACAGTATAGGTTTGTGCCTTAGAGGGTACAACACTAGCCTATATTCTCTTGTACTCTCACATTCTAGTTGATTCCATCATTCTAACATGGTATCATGAGTAGGTTAGGTCCCGTTCGCCCACCCGCGCTTCCGCCCTAGGTCCTAGCCGCCCGTTTCCCCCTAGCCGGCCCGTTCCCCCCTAGCCGCCTGTTCCCCCCCCCTAGCCGGCCCGTGCCCGTCCAGCACCCGTCCTGGCCCGCGCCCGTCCCGTAGCCGGCCCGCGCCCGTCCCGTAGCCAACCCGCGCCCGCGCCCGTCCCGCACCCGTCCCATAGCTGCGCCCAGCCCGCGCCCGTAGCCGCACCCGTCCTGTAGCCGGCCCGCGCCCTCCTCGTAGCCGGCCCCGCGCCTGTCCCGTAGCCGGCCCGTCCCGTAGCCGGCCCCGTCTCGCGCCCGTCCCGTAGCCGGCCCCGTCTCGCGCCCGTTCCGTAGCCGGCCCGTCCCATAGCCGGCCTGAGCCTGTCCTGTAGCCGGCCCGCGCCCGTCCCGTACCCGCGCCCGTCTCCTAGCTGACCCCGTGCCCATCGCCGGCCCGCGCCCTCCTCGTCGCCGGCCCCCGCGCCCGTCCGTAGCCGGCCCCTGCGCCCGACCGTAGCCGGCTCCCGTGCCCGTCCGTAGCCGGCCCCCCCACGCCCGTCCGTAGCCGACCCCTGCGCCCGCGCGTAGCCGGCCCCCGCGCCCGACCGTAGCCGGCTTCCGCGCCCATCCGTAGCCGGCCCCTGCGCCCGCCCGTAGCCGGCCACCGCGCCCGTTCGTCGCCGGCCCGTCCCCGCCCCGCCCCGGCCCGCACCGGCTCGCTCTCTGCGCCCGGGCCTGACGCCCAGCTGCACGTCACGTGCAGCAGGCTCCTGCACCGCACTGCACCGCCTGTCACCGCACTGCATCGTCCTGCACCACACTACACCGCACTGCACCGCCCTGCACTGCACTGCACCGCCCTGCACCGCAGCTGCATCGCCCCTGATGGCGGACTCTGTGCTGCGGTTTGACGCGGAGGGCCAGCCGATCGAGTTCGACACGTGGCTCGTCGACCTCCGCCGTCACCTCACAGGGCAGCAGCAGGACGGCCACTCCTTGGCTGTCCACCTCGACGGTACGCTCCCCTGTCCTGACCCCCCTGCTGCGCTGCCCGCTGACCCCACGTCTGCTGAGCGTGAGTCCGCTGCTGCTGTAGCCCTTGCCCGCTCGGTCTGGTTGGAGCGTGACGATGTTGCCCAGCTAGCCATCAGTTATGCCCTTCCCCTGTCTGAGCGTCCCCACTTTAGGTCGGTCAGGACTGCCCAGGAATTCCTAGATGCTATTGTTGCGCGCTATTCCACCCCATCTTCTGCCTCCGTCAGTCGCCTGATCCTGCCTCTGCTGTTTCCTGACCTCGTGTCTTTCCCCACTGTCGCTGACCTAGCTGCCCACTTGCGCACGCTAGACTCGACCTAGCGCTCTACCTGTACTGAGGCCCAGCTCCGCATGTTCAAGCCCCCCCTCTGTGTTACCCTCTAACTGCTCGCCACCCGCCTCCCTGACTGTCTTGCTACTGCCCGCGATCGCTTTCTTAGTCTCCACCCCGCTGACCTCACCCTCACTGACTTTGTCGACACCCTGTCAGCCATAGAGAGTGTAGTAGCGGTGGTGTGGGTGGAGGAGGTGCTATCGCAGGGTTGCCCGCAGGGGGAGCGGAGGAGGGTGATGGGGCTGGCACCACCGAGCAGCAGTCTCAGCAGCAGTAGCCAATTCCACCGCCGGATCAGCAGCAGCCGCAGCCGCAGCCGCAGCAGCCACTGCAGCAGCAGCAGCAGCAACACCAGCCGCCGCGTCAGCAGCAGCAGCAACACCAGCCGCCGCGTCAGCAGCAGCAGCAGCGTGTTGGTCGTCTCCCGCCCGGATGGCCCGGAGCTGGCGGTGGCGGCGGTCGTGCTGGTTGTGCACGTGCCTAGACGTCGGGTGGTGGCTTCGGCAACGGGCGCTGCCAGTACCAACTTCAGACCGGTCCTCGCCGTGGCCTTGTGTGCGGTAAGATCGGTCACACCCCCACCCGCTGTTTCAGTCGCCTGGGCGACCTGTTTCGTCTTCGTTTCGGCCCGTCGCCCGACCTCCCTGACTGGCTCAGCTTGCTCCGCCAGGGTGTTCAGATCTTTGATATGGACATGGGTGAGATTAGCTCTGCATTGTATGTGCTGTATGTCGATGACTCTAGTGTGATTGGTTCTGCTTACCCTGTGCTGCCTTGTGTAGGTGTGCCTAGTTCAGACCCCCCTGCTGCGTCATGCGAAGGATCTCTTGCTTTGTTTAGCCTAGTCTCCTCTCTTGCTCCTACCGCTCCTGCCGTCACTACTGCACTCTCCTTCACCCTTAACTCTGGCACTTCTCGGTGCTTCTTCCAGGACTCCACTACTCTCACGCCGCTTCCAGCTCCTGCCGCAGTTTCCCTGGCTGACCCTTCCTCCGGTCCTGTCGTAGCCCATAGCTCCACTACCCTTCCCTGTCCAGCGGTTCCTTCGGGCTCACTTACAGGCCTGCACATCCCCTCATTCTCTAGGAACCTAGTTGGTGTAGGCTGCCTCCAGGACCTTGGCGTCACCACTACGTTCCCTGGTCACAAGCGGTACGCTGTCTGTACCGAGGCCGCCACAAGTGCTCCCCTCTCCACATTCCCCCGGGACCCGGTGTCTGGCAAGTTCACACTGGACACTGCCCCCCCCCTAGTTGTGACGTCTCCCCAGGTGCCTGTGTCTCCTCAGGTAGCTGCGTCTTGCTCGTGTCGATCGCTCACTCACCCGACACTACTGTGGCACCACCGCCTAGGTCACCCTGCCCTTCCCCGTCTTCGTCATATGTCTCAGCACAAACTTGTTCTAGGCCTCCCTGGGTCGTTCCCTACGCTCCCCCCCTCACCCGCACCGCCGTGTTCCCCCTGCGTCAAGGGTCGGCTCCGCCGTGCCCCTCACTGCTCCTCGTTCCCCCCCACCACCGCACCCTTGCAAACCTTGCACATGGACGTCTGGGGCCCTGCCCCGGTTCATGGGCCGCGTCGTGAGCGTTACTTCCTCGTTCTTGTTGACGACTACACTCGTTACACCAGCGTGTTTCCCCTGGAGCGGAAGGCCGACGTGATTGACGCTCTTATCCAGTGGCTGGTTTCTGCGCGAGTGCACCGCGGCCTTCCTCTCTTGCGTCTTCACTCCGACCGTGGTGGCGAGTTTGCCTCCGGTGTCCTTGGCCGTTTCTGCCGTGTGGAGGGCATCACCCAGACGTTCACCCTGCCGGACTCCCCGCAGCAGAATGGGGTCGCTGAACGACGCATCGGTCTGGTCATGGAGGTGGCTCATACCTCCATGATCCATGCTGGTGCACCCCATTTTCTGTGGCCGTTCGTCGTTCGCTACGCCGCTCACCAGCTTAACCTGTGGCCGCACCCCCAGCAGCCGTAGGTTTCGCCAACCCTTTTCTGGACCGGGTACCCTGGTGATGCCAACACGACTGATATCTTTACACGAGCGCTTGCGCCTAAAGATAATCAGCAGCACTGTGTACAGCTTGGTCTTTTTCCTGTAGCCTCTCATTTGCTAGGGCCTTGATTGTGTACAGACATTTATATATTTATCTATTGCTCTGACTGGCCTTGTGGCCTCTCTCAGTGGCTGGACTAGTAGTGCCGCCCTGAGTTGTTTGTCCGTTTGTTAGGCACTGCCCCTATACAGTCTAGGAGGTGTGTCAAAACATATCTTAGTATGTTATTATAGACAGTATAGGTTTATGCCTCAGAGGGTACAACACTAGCCTATATTCTCTTGTACTCTCACATTCTAGTTTATTCCATCAATCTAACATCTACGCCAGTTCCTACGGCCGCCGCCATGGCGTGGCATCCAGGCGTGACTTTCCGTTCCAAGCACGCCTAGAGCGATGCCTCCTGTATCCGGCCCAACCTTCCTCTGGCCATGTGTTACTGTTAGGAGGAGTGGCCTGAGTGCGACAAGCGGGGATGCTGCCGAGAATGCCATCGACGATAAATATGTCTCCGATGATGTTGAGGCCCAAATTCCCGAGCCCACTTACTCGATAGGACGCGAGTCACGCGAGGAGTGAGAGGCGACCCATGGTGTAGTCGTAGAGCGTCGAATGTAGCTGCTGGTTAAGCCACGGCATCCGTAGGCTCACTTACTTGACTACATTTCGAATTTTCTAGGTGCTAACTATTTGGCTAATGATGAATGTCATGTAGCCCAGTACATTTAAGAAATTAGTGAACTGTTGTAACGTTAAAACCCATAAAAAAAAACAAGAGGAGGGTCCATGTTCGAATACAAGAATGAATTAGAAACAAGTGAGAACAAGGGAGACATAGGGTTGGAGTTGTACCCTCTCAGAACATACACCTATCTAGCCGATAACTTCTACGTACAAACAGATGTATAAGTTGGCACACCTTCTAGGCTAGATCAGGGGTACTGCTGAGCAAGAAACACGCAGCTCAGGGTGGCACTACTAGTCCAATCTCTGAGGCAGGGGTCCGAAGACCAGTCAGCAAGAGTACAAAACAAGACAGGAGGAAACTAGGGCGGCA